GCGTGGCGCCCGGGGCGGAAGTCACGTCGAGGAGGACGGACGCGACCTGGCGCAGGAGGAAGATCGAGAAGACGATGCCTGGGGGGAGGCGCGGCACGCGTGACGGACGCCCATCGAAGCAAGGGAGGGCACACGCGCCGGCAAGGGAGTCACGCTGCGGTGGCGACGCCGCCGCCGAGCCGTGAGGGCTGGGAGAGCGCGGCTGGGAGAGCGCGGACCGATGATGCCGGTGGCCACGATGATGGGCGTGGTGAGGGCGCCGCTCGCCAGCGGCTCAATGCCGCCGTTGACGCACTGCGCCATGTCGAGAGAATCCATGGTGCGAGGGTGCCACGGAGTGTCCAGTGTCCACTGAGTCCGGCGGTCGATCCGAGCTCACGCGAGGTCAGACGCTCTCTTCATCAACGAACGTTACGAGTACGTGACCACACGCAACCAAGCGTAGTCGCGCCAACGCCGTGGTAGAGCTCTGCGCAAGTTGCGGATACACCCTGGTCCCCCACGGCGTTGGCGCGGCAGTTCACGCCCTGCACAAGCATGGTAAACTCCCAGTTCCGCAGGAGCTCCTCTGTCTCTCTGTCTTCGCGGTGCCAAACCCCTATCTGATGTTGGGGAGAACGGCGCTACTCGAGTAGGGGAACTCGAGTATCGCTACTCGAGTAGCTAGCCGTTTCGCGTTGGGCTGGCCGCCACACAGGTTTTGCTCGCCGCCTTTGTTTGGCTGCCCATTGCCAGCAAGCAGGGTTTGATTTCCCGTCGCAGTCTTTTTTGCCCAGTCTCGCCGACTCTCGCAGCCGAGCACCATGTGTCTTGTTTTGCCAACAATACACTTAACCATGACGCCGCCTCGTAATGGCTCTCGTCAGAACTCAGAAGGCGCCACACATTTTACGTCGCACAGCAAAAGTTGGCGAAGAAGCGGCGCCGCGTTGCATCGTGACGAACACCCAATGGCCGGTTCTTCCACGGAGATCTTGGAGAGCAACTCGTCTCTGGACCCCGCGATCTTCGGCGATGCCCTGCTGCGCGACATGGCCAAGCTCTGGATCCGGACGCTCGACGGGAGGAGCGGCCAGCGCCGCCGGCCTTCGCCAGCACTGCTAGCCGCCGCCCGCCAGTGGCAGACGTCTCAGGAGCAGCAGCGGCGGCGGCGGCAGCAGCAGCAGCAGCAGCAGCAGCAGCGCCGGCCGGCGCCGGACCCGGCCGCTCCGCCGCCTGCGCATGCCGAGAACCCACGCTGCTGGCACAAGTGCTCGCTCGGCGGGGAGATCCGAGTGCTCGCTCTCTCTACCGAGGCGGGCTTCGCCGAGGTGCACGCGGCGGCCTGCGCCAAGTTTGGCGTCAGCGAGGACTGGCGACTGCTCTGCCGCGATGCCGCCGACGCCGCCGACGAGCGCGGGGCTGACCCTCCGCTCATCACGCTCCTTGCAGCGAACCAAGGGGATGCCGTCTAGAGCGAACTCCGAAACCGAACGTCGAACGAACCGCGAGTTCACCGAACCAGTTCATCAACCAGAGCGCCAGTTCGCCCGCGAAGATCAAGAAGAGATTTTTAGCAATTCCTAAGATCAAAGGCTGGCGCGAGAGGCTGGCTGGCGGCGTCCTGGGAGGGTGATGCGCATCTTACTTTCTTCTTTCTTGGAACGCTAGGTTGGTGGGGTCCCGTACCACGCGGCATCGACCCTATCCAGTGCTCAAGTGCTCAAGGTTGTAGGCGGGGAAATCCGATCTCGATTGTAATAAAAAACTCGCGGCGTCCACTTCACTTCGCCGAGTCGGCGGAGGGCGGCGCCGCAGGGGTGCCCGAATCGCTGCTGCATCCCGTTGCCTCCCGCGCGATATGCTGCGCCACGCCGCCAAGCCGTCCACCCGCCGGATCGCGGTCGGGGCGCGGGCGCTCTCCTCTAACTCGCTCCTCAAGCAGAGGCTGATCGAGCTCATGCC